CAAAAAGAAATATGGAGAATGATCTAAATTCAAAGAAAATAGATGAACGAACTAATAAAAACGAAAAACATTTAGAATGAATCATGGGTAGACTACTTTCGATCCATATTTCCTAAAGGTGACGATAATAAATATTCAACACCAGAGGAGACGACAAACGAAGAAATAAATATTGAGGATGAAGAGGTAAATAAAGCATTAAGGAAATTAAAAAATAGAACATCACCAGGAGAGGACAGAATACCGAACGAACTCCTAAAGTACTGAGGACCACATCTAACCAAACAACTATTAAAGCTAATCCAAAAAATAATAGAACAAAACAAAATTCCTCAAGAATGGAGATCAAGCATCCTAACACCTTTCTTCAAAAAGGGAGACAAATAGGACCCGGAAAATTACAGAGGAATTAATTTATTAAACACAACAATAAAATTAACAACCAAAGTGATAACAAATAAATTGAATGAAATGATAACACTAGCAGAACAAGAAGGTTTTAGATCGGGAAGATCATGCACCGACGCTATATTTATAATAACGCAAGTGCAAGAGAAATTATTAGAATATAACAAACATACATATCTCTGTTTCGTTGACCTTACAAAGGCATTTGACAGTCTCGAATTAAAAGACGATATCCACTTACTATATGCAAGAGAGATACCTCTAGGAATAATCAAAACGATCGAAAATATCTACCTAAACAACACAATAAAAGTAAGAGTAGAAGAACTAACCGACCCTATTTAAGCTGGCAGTGGGATAAGAGAGGGAGATTCCCTGAGTCCTCTATTGTTGAACCTGATTATTGATGAAATAATAAAAAAAGTAAGAACTAAAAAAGGATACGAAAATGGTAGAAAAACAATTTCAAATAATATGCTATGCAGACGATGCAATACTACTCTCTCAAAAAGAAGATCATTTACAACGTATGCTGCACAATTAAATATAACCGCCAGAAAATTTAACATGTTAATTTCCCCAAAAAAGACAAAATGCATGGTTACAACAGCAAATTTATTAAGATGTAAAATGGAGCTGGACGGTCAGATAATAGAACAAGTGATGGAGTTTAAATATCTAGGCATCACTTATCTAACTACGGAAAGCTCGAAACTGAAGTGGAAGATCAAGCGAATAAAGCAAACAGAGCCGCAGGCTGCCTAAATGAAACAATATGGAGAAAGAAAAATATCGGGAAAGAAACGAAAAGCAGAATTTACAAAACAGTCATCAAACCAATAATGACATATGCTGCAGAAACAAGACCTGATACAGAGAAGACAAAAAGGATTTTAGAAACAGAAGAGATGAAAACACTTAGAAAAATTGATGGTAAGACACTATGGGACAGAGCTAGAAGTACAGATATACGACGTAGATGCAAGGTGGAGAATATCAAGAACTGGGTAAGAAATAGAAGAGTAGAATGGAACGATCATATAAGCCGAATGACAACAAATAGAGTAGTAAAGACGGCAAGAGACGGTTCTCCAATAGGAAGACCACGAAAACGATGGAACGGCAACTTACTGGAGGCACATTGAAAAACAGATAGAGTCATGTCTATATAAAACGAAGAAGAAGCTTGTATTAATGTCCGATGTTTTATCTATACTTCTATTGTATTTTTTTTGCTTAGGAGTTCCATTTTTAAAGTTGAACTTCAAATTCTGCTATAAGCACTACGTCACCCGCAAATATGCATATTTCTACATTTATCGTTTGCATGATATTCCATGCAATTATTTTAATAGCATATTGTTCATTCTTACTGTGTATACTGTTGTCACTTCGATCAGCTCTTTGCTAACTCGTCTATCTAAGCATTCTCAGTTGTGCAATATCTTCATCTTCTACCGAAGGTTGGAAATCATCATGGCTATGCGGACCCTGTTGACTGCCTCTAAATAGTTCTGCACTACTGCATTCAAACCATTCAGTTAAGTTGTTAAGCTACGATATTCTTCGTCATCCCAAATTTCGCTTTACTCGAATTTTGCCTTGCATAATAAGTATCTTTGTCCTCTCATAACATGGACTAAGTACTCCAGTTTTCTTCTTTTGATAGTCAATATTATATTTCAGCTTAATTTCTTATTCTTCTAGTAACCTCTGCGTTCGACATTCTTTGAGTCCATGATATTCGCAGGATTCTTCTTTAACACAAAAATTCAAAAGCGGCCAACTTATTTAGTTGTACTTGTTTTAACGTCTATGCTTCCAAGCCATAAAGGATAGTAGTGAATACGTAGCACCTAAGAATTCCGGTTAGGCGTAGTCCTAACCTTATATCCCGGCAACAAAGAAACTTTTTAAGTTTAACGAATGATGCACGTTATTTCAATACGTGTCATAATTTCTTTGGTTTGGTCTACATTTAATGTTATCCATGTTCCTAAGTATTTGTAGGTATCCACACTCTCAATTACAGTATCCTCAACAATCAATTGGTCCAGTGATACAATATTTCCTTCATATCGGTAATATCTCCGTTACAATTTTTAAAGATATTCGTTCTTGTGCTTTTTCTAGAACCTATTACTTCTTCGACTTTTGTGTGTAAATTAAAGCTATCATACTTTTTATCCAGATCGTTCGTTTCCTTACATCTGTCAAGAGTGCCACCTCTATTTTGCTTCTTAAATTTTCTTCAGATATTTTTCTGAATTGCTTTGTATTTATTCAGATCTTTTGCTTTGTTCTCTTCGTTTTTCCATAAGTTGAAGAATTTCTACTGTCCTCCAAGGTTTTGTTTTTCCCCAAGTGATTTGAGGATTTCTTTTACAAATGACACAAGGGCAAGTTGAATTTTTACCCATTTTTAGTCAATAGTTACAGTTTCTTCATTATCTTCTTTGACTTTCTTTCAATTTTCGTTTATTTTAAATTTCGTTTCCGCATATATAATGTCTTGTTTGAGCCGCCTTGTATCCATATTTTTCTTGGAGCTAGACTGCCTTACATTCTTTAGTTTTACTCTTATCGACAAAACAACCGGCTTGTGATCGAAGAAGTATACAATGATCTTATATCAATAAATTTATTTTTTCATTTTTTTTTTCTGGAATTTTCCTATAAAAACATATCACCAAGCTCCTTCAGTTTGATTCATTTCGCCCTAGTTTAACTGTTTGTATCACGATCAATTTCAGCATTGATCTATTATACTTAAAATTATTACTTGGCGGGATCATTTCATACATGAATTTTTTTCTTGTAGTTAGTAACTCCATCTCTAAACCAACATTCGAGATAGTCTGTTTTTGTCCTACTATAATCTTCTTCTTTAGGTACCATCTCCTCTAAGGAGGTTGGTAATCATCACAGCTATATTCACTTTTGAGATTGCAGCTCTGAACAAGTCGACCTAACTGCAATTATACCACTTTCTCAGATTGTTGAGCCAGGAGATGCGTCTTCTTCCAATACTTAGTTTTCCCTGCATTATGGTTTGTAGCAATACATATTTATCCCCTCTCATGACGTGGCCAAGATACTGTAATTTTCTTATCTTAATCGTATTCATGATTTCCATTTCCTTTGTCATCTTTCTGAGGACCTCAACATTTGTTATTCGGTCTACCCAACTTATTTTTAATATTCTTAGGTAGGTCCACATCTCGAATGCTTCAAGTCGATCGCTCACCTCTTTCTTTAAGGTCCAGGCCTCCACTCCATACAGCAGCACCGAAAACACATAAGAACGTAATATTCTTATTTTGAGTTGCAAACTAAGGTCTCTACTGCATAATACTTTTCTCATTTTATTAAATGTTGCTCTAGCTTGTCCAATTCTTATTTTTATTTCTTCTGTATACTCGTTATTTTTATTAATAATTGTACCAAGATATCTGTATTTTTTTACTTTTTCTATTGCAACTCCTCTTATGTTTAAAATGTCTTGTTGTGTTTTGGAAATTATCATAATTTTTGTTTTATTAGCATTAAGCGTTAGTCCGCTTTCCTCACTAGCATTTACTACATTATCTAAAAGTGTCTGTAGATCTTGTATATTCTCTGCAGTTAGTATAGTATCATCAGCATGTCTGATATTGTTGATGGGTCTGCCGTTGACTTTTATTCCAATTGTTACATTTTCGAGTGATTTTTCAATTATTTCTTCCTACTATAATATAATAACAAAATTCTAGGTATTAAATTCTGGGAATTGATAATTAAGTTTTAACAATAACACTATTATAGATATATATTATCTGATTTTATTGATATCATGTTCAGGATATTATAGATATTATCTGAAATCAATACATCGTCCGTAAAAAATAGGTAATTTAACATTTCTCCATCGATGCGATCCCAGCTGATCTCCTTTCTATCATATTGCATACCTTACAAATATTTGTTGGGAAAGTATATCAACCTGTCTTACACCTCTGTCTATGTTGAAATTGTTCGTGTATTGGTTGCTAGGCATTTTAAAGTTTGATGTTTGCGTTCTTGTAAGGATATTAGATTAACTCTCTATATGTTCTACATTTGACTAAGGGATCTAAGAGTTTGTGTTGATTTACCAAGTCGACGGCCTTTTCTACAAAGACAACTCAAAGCTTTTTATATTTTAATTTCTTGATCTGAAACTTGAATGTTATTTTGCCAAAAAGAAATCAATTTTATTTGTCAATATTTTGAAATGCAAGAATAAACTTCATATTTCTCTGTGACTTGTATTCAAGTAATTTCTAATCTAGCAAAGTTCTACCACCAAATATAAAGCCCATTAAAATATTTTATTCTCATCCCTTTTTATTTTAGTTTGGAAGGGTGATTAGTTTATACCACCAAATATACAGTCCATAAAAATCTTTCATTCTCATTCCTTTAAATTTTCGTTTGGGATGTTGATTAGCCGAGGAATTGATAGATGCTCACGAATAACTTGTATCGGAGCACCGTATTTATACGAAACAGCTACGTGCTTATCAAATCGGAAATTATCATTCTATAATAAATGCCAAATAAAACTACAAATCTAAGATTTATAAACATTTTAATATTATAATTATATATAATACAACAGTACTCTTTTACTCAATTTTCGAATAAATAAATATTTTTTTCTTTCCAACGAGAAAGAGAGAGCTTTTGGTGAATATCTCTGATAAGTACCTACATGATCTAAAAAAAGTAAAATTAAAAACATCGCTGACTCTTTAGAGATCGACTGATTTTAAAATTGATTCATATATTTTTCTCGTTACTTAAGTTCATTAAATCACAATTCATTTTAAAAGTCACCTACAGAAGATTCCATTGGATAGATATAATATGATTGCTAGTTTCTATAGAACGCGCTATTTCTTCGTGAATACTGTGACTGAGCCATAACGTCTGAAGTTTCTTGTACCTTTCGGGGCACAGACGCAACGGATTACCCCTTCGTAGTCCTTGATCTGTCTCTCCGTAATCATCCAAATAAGGTGGAGATATTAAACATCCTCTATGTGGCGCGGCCAAATAAAGAATCTCGCATTCTCGAACCCGCAATAAAATGCCAATACCAGCGCCACACTTATTCGCGTGATAGTTACAAGCTCCCACTGCCATTTTGTTTAATTCAGTTTGGCAACAGTAGCTTTGTGAACATAGTATTTCCCCGCATACCAAACACATGCAAGGGTTCTTGGAATCCTCATCGCTATTAGGACAAGTAAACATTGAAACTGTGTTGATAAGTTCACTGTAATCGTTTGGGAGGTTAATTAGACGAGGAACTGATAGCGGCTCACGAATAACTTGTATCGGAGCACCTTTTATATACGAAACAACCTCCTCGTGCTTACACCACCGACTTACCAAATCCATTACTACTTCCGAGTCGAAAAGTTCTTTGGGGGTTTGAGGTAAGTCCAAATAATCGCACATCATGCTGAAAGTATCTTCGTTAAATTCTGTAAGATTGGCAGGTGCTTTAACATCGGTTAAGTAGTGATAAAAGAGAACACAACATCTAAGAAAAGGTTGACAAGCGTATTTTACATGTTCCCATACATCGTGAGTGCTTACGTGATCTAGGTTTTTGCCCATTCCGTCTAAAATTTTTAAAATTTCCGCGTTTCCCACTATGTCCGTGTCCATTGAAGTGGAAAGATCGTCATTTTGCAGTAATATTAATATCTTAACTATATGAGATATAAATATAATTCTTAAAAGATGCCAGTCCGATGTGCCACCTGTTGGCACGGGCGTTTTCTTACTATTCCTACAAGAAAGACTAGGTAAAGAAAAGGTAAGGCTAATTAAAAGTCCGAAAGAATCCCATTGGAGTATCGACGGCCCCTCATTGCCGTTTTCGAATAATATAGATAAAAGACTAACTGCATGGCTATTGATAAAAGCGCTGCTTTTCCATGTACTACCTAAAACTCCAACTATTCGCACCAAACTCTCAATGCAATCTCGCTGTCTGCTGGATAAGTGGCCCAATAGAGGTTTCTGTGCATCTCTTAAAAGTACTTCTATAGAGTGTATTGTGTATGCTAACGTTTTCCAACACATCGGTACCAAACGTTTATCATATGGATGGGGATTAACGTTCAGTCCTCTGGTGTAAGCCACCTGTGCAAAAACTTGTATCATTTCCTCATGACTACTCTCCAATTTCGGGAATTCTACAGGGAATAGCTGTTTAAATTCTTCAGGTGTATCTGATGTGAAATCATACGAGAAGAAAACTTGATGGGGTTGCAACGTACAGTTGACTTCACATTTTACATTCTCCTCATGTTCAATATTACCGTTAGAAGTATATAAGCAGTCCTTACAATGCTTATTTTTACATTCCTCCGACGAATCACAGGTGAACAAACCGTGGCAAGTTGTCTGTTTATTTTTTAAAACATGATTGATGCCGTGGAGCCAATTTTCAAAAGAGATGTTGTCGATTTGTTTTGTGGGCTGTAAAATGTTCAGCGGTGGTATTAGTGGCAAGACTGCGTTGCTAAGACATTCGCATAGAGGACAGAGGAATTCTTGTTTATCCACGTCAAAGCTAGCGGGATGACGCAACCTATAACAAATATAAGAAAATAATAATTCAATGTTTATATGACATTTATTAAAATGATTCAAATAAATATATAGAGAGCCTATATGATACTTTTAGACTTTTTCGGAACTATACAACTTTTATTAATATTTTTTGGTTACTGACTAAAGCATCTAAGTTCATTTTTTATGACGATTCAATGACGTAATCACTCAACAAATTTTACATTTTGTAATATTATTTTAAATGGATATTGCAAGTAATGCGTTATGGTCCAGTTTTTTCCGCAGCAACTACTTAATTATCGGTCGTAACAAAAAAGTCTTAAGCTGTCCATTTAAACTATAAATAACTAACGCACCTTATTTTATGAACCTTAAATTAAACTCTGTTGATGGAATAATGAATGCTGATAAATACATTAACGTGTTACAAAATAATTTGAATACACACAAAGAGAAGAAATGGTTTTGAAAAATGTTGCATGTACCTTTAAAAAAAAAGCCAACTTAAGTTAGACGGTAGAAACTTTGTGACATTTTAATGAAAGGTTACGATCACAACCTCCTCAAGAACCAATCGATTTGAAACTTTACATTTGTTAACATCATCACATCTATTCTTTATAACATCGAAATTCTCGAAATATCTGCCTTAGCCTATAGCATCGAGCAATAAGACAAAAGAGGGAATGTAAAGGTAGTGGGGGCAAACATATTGATAGACAGGAAGTGCTATTTTGGGAAGGGCCACTTTAAACAAGGAAAGAGAATCTCTTTCCTTTTTTAAGAAATAAAATTTAGTTGGGTTATGTTATTGTTGATGTTATTGTTTGTCAAAACTGTCACATGAAAGCTTATTTATATTTTCTATTGAAGTTTTTTAACAATTGTTTAACATTTTAGACTATTATCGTTATTAATTAATTAAAACTTTATTGTGTTCTAGTGTTAAAAAAAGTATTTTGATAAATAATTTTAATAAATAAATAGATAAATATATAATATAAAATATTATGTAATATAAAATAAATAAATAGATAAATTAGAACCCCTACACCACTGTATGATTATTGTCAAGTGTCATGAAATTTAAATTTGGCGCATTTGCATTTCCGGATATGTCCGCCATCAGAGGCCACTTTTTTGGTCTCCTTTTCATAACGATTAGATTCCCTCTTTTGTCTTATTGCTCGATGGCCTATAGAGACACCGGGCATAATTTACAGGTAAATATATAGTCACACTATAGTTAAACATCTACTGTGATTTTTAGTTCATTATAGAGACCTTAAATTGGAAAATTTGCTTCTTGACAAAGATGGTCATACTAAAATGGCACTGACTTTGGACTATGCAAAGAAGATATAACATGGAAGAACTACAAAGACTTTCTGTGGTACTCCTGAATATTTAGCCCCTCAAGTACTAGAAGACAACGACTATGACAGGCATGGACCGAGGAATTCTTGTTTATCCACATGATATAGTCACATCATGAGATAGTCACAGTCATAGACACAAATCCCTAATTTGACATTGTCATATTATTTTTTTTCCAAGTCAATCTTCGAAATAATTTTCGATTTTTAGTATAATTTATTTTAAATTTATAAAGAAAAATGTATTATCTAGTTAGTATAAACTATTTTTAGATATACTCATTTCGCACCAAGGAATTAAAAGAAAAACATTAATTTTTTAATTTATTAAAATAAAATAAATGTTAACTTTATGTAAAACTTGGCATCATCGGTAATATTAACCAATTGTAGCAATTTGAGGAAAATGAACATGGTGTTGTACTGTTTACGTTTGAGTTGATAATTTCCTTATTTGTGACATTTTAGTGAATTTGTTAATATATTTTAAATTTGAATTGAAGAATAGTTACTAGTTAAGTGCCCTAATGATGCGTAACTGTGTTGTATGCAGGAAAAGTACATATTTACATACACAATTGTCATTTCATTCGTAAGTATTATTAGCATTGGAATTACGTGCATGGGCGTAGTACAGGGATGAGATATTACTTAATTCTTGACATGAATTGAAATTTAATTTTGTGAAATAAAGTAAATTTTGTAGTATTATAAAAACATTTATTTATTTTTTTCTAATCTACACTATAATTGCTATAAATATATTAATTTCAATGAAATATCATATGCAGGTTCCCAGTAAAGAATCAACAGCTGCTGGATATGTGGTTGTCTATGTTCGGCTTAAATAAAAAAAAAATAACCAAAACGGCTATGGTCTGCTCAGAACACTTTAGAAAGCATGATCTAATTATACAACCAAGTGGACGGGTTAATTTGAGGAAAGGAACTGTTCCAATAAATATTTATCATAAATCACCAGAACTAAGGTAACTATAACGAATTTCTATGTACTTTACCATACAGAGTATAATAAATATATTGCATACTCATACATTAATTCAATGTTTCAGTTCTACAAACGATAGGGAAAATAAAGAAACAACTTTCATTAGTATTGATATGGATGATTTTTATGGACCTTCAAAAAGGTGAGTTTGTATCGAATTTGTTAATTAAATTTACAAATAAATCTAAATGTGGATTTTGATTACTTATTTCATTTTAATATTAAAATTACTCAAACTATTTTAGGAATTTAATTAAAAATCCTTTGTAATAGGTATATTTTAGGCCCAAACGGGCTAAGTTAAAAAGACAAAACGTTTTCGGAAACCATGTTCCATCATCAGTGTCTAGGAGTACATGAACGTAGCCACCAAGATTAAATATGTGGGTAAAAACCCGATTACAGATGTTTAATTACATTTAGTTTTAAAATAATGTTATAATGATTTAGGAGTAAAGAGTTACCGATGGATTAGGTAACATGGCGACATATGACTCCACGTTGAAGTTGCTAGTTAGGAGCTATTTTAGGAGTTTTATTGATGAAGATTACTGAATTATGTAATTGATTACTGAAGTAGTCAGAACTGACTGATTACTGGAGAATGTAATATGGAGACAGACTTGGACTTTAATGTAAAATCTAATTCTTCTTAACTATTAAAAAGGAGGTGAGTTTTGGCTAAATTTTGTATGAGATTATTTCAATCTTAAACCAATGTTAATGTTTTTCTTTAATGTACATAAATTGAATATTCTAGATGTTTAAATGACAATGAAGAAAACAAGGAAAATATAGATATAGAAAATGCATCTTCGAGCACCATTACAGCATCAGAAACTGAAACTGTAGAGTTGTTACTTGGTGATAATACTTTTTCATATGTTCCACGTAATATTTATAAAAAGTGAGTTTTTAGTATAATTTATAAAAACAAGGATTGTAACTATGAAAACATAATTATATGTTTTAGAAATAAAACCGTTAAAGCCATGTCTAGCAGAGATTTTTTAACACCTGAAAGGGTCAAGAAAATTTTTAAAGTGTTAAAAAAATACTGTTATGAGCCAAAAAAGTAAAATAAAGTATTTACAAAAATCTGTAAGACGAATGAAAACAAAAATTACATCCTATCCAAAATTATTAAAGATTTATAAAAGCCCGACTTATGTCCTTTCTTGTTGAAATCAACATTTTATCACGAAGTCAGTTCAGTTTTTTATCTAATAAATGTACCAGTAATGCTATGTTTTCTGTACTTCATGAGGTCTATCAAGCACTAAATAATAATCTTTACACTGCCACTGTTTTTTGTGACTATGCCAAATCTTTTGATTGTGTAATTCACGACATTTTGATAAAAAACTAAATTTCTACAGAATTCGAGGTATTTCTTTTAATTGGTTCCAATCTTGCTTGAGAAATAGAAAACAAACAGAGCAAATTATACTGACTCTAGTCACAAAAGCATTGTATGTAGAGTACCACAATGTTCAGTACTGGCTCCTCTACTTTTTCTTTTTAACTCTTCATGCAATTATAACTTCTGATCAACTTACAATAAAACCTGGTCCGACTATAATTTTCGACTCTCTTTTAACATGAATAAGACAGTAGCATTATCCTATAAAGGATCTCTTCAACCCTTGCTTCTTAATAACAGCCAGATCAGTATCGTTGTTTCTTTAAAACTTCATGGTATTTTTACAGACAACAACCTTAAATGGTTCCTTTACATCGATTTCTTAAGTAAGAAACTAGTCTCAGCCAGCTATGCAATAAGATCTGTTTCGAAGCAGAATTTAGCATCTTCCAAAATAACATATTTTTCTTTGTTCGAGTCTCATCTTCGATATGGCCTTCCTTTTTGCGGTTCTAGTGCAGCTACCCAATATAATGTTATTTTTAAAGACAACAATTACAAAAAAGAGCAATCCGGTATCTTTCTGGTCTCAGTAGAGTAACACATTATAGAAGATACTTCAAAAATCAAGGAATTTTAACTCTTCCCTCTTTGTATATTCTAGAAATTGTTTTCTTAATTGGTAAACACCTACATGTTTTTCCAGCAAGACCCAATCATGAATACTCTACCAGAAATTCAACCTTTGATATGTATTTATTGACTCCGTTCACTGAGTGCAAGCTCTGCAAATTGACAAAAGCCTATCTATCTGAAAGACCATATTATTCAGTGGAGGAGTTTCCTAATGAGAAACTAAGAAATTACAGTACGTTTAGGTACAAGCAACTAAAGTATTATATATTTGGGTATCACATGCAGCAACTAAAACTTTAAAATTTAGTTAGATTTTGCAATGAATTGTTTATTTTACTATCTTTTATTATGTGATATTGACAATTTTTGTAATTTTAGTAAATTTTAATTGTTATTGTTATTTTTTCTTTTTATAAGCTTTGTCCATAAAATTGTACAATTTTCAGTGACAATAAAGCATATTTCTATTTTAGAACCCTACCCGTTCCATAAGGTTTAATGTGTTTATATTTTGTGTATATGTGATTTGTTGTTCATGTTTTGTTAAACAATAGTTTATGTTTTCTTACGTTTATTAATATTTTCTTAAATACATATTCCTGAACTTTTATCTTTCTTCTGTCTACTGCTAT